AAATGTTCTTTATACGAAGTTGCTAATGTTATCTTGATGTTTCTTTCCCATAATTTTTGCCACTTTTCTAATTCAACATTAAATCCAAAGTTTTGTGCCCATATTATCATAGCTTCCTTAACCTGTTCCCCTTCCATTTTCCTGTTAAGTAAAAAATCATATAGTCTTTTAATAATTTTCTCATCTGTTTTAAGTATCACTTGATCAAACTCTGTTAGGTCTTTATAAAACTCCCATGTTTTACAATCTTTAGCATACCTTGATTGCATCTGTACCTTATACCACCAGGAAATATTAAGTCCCTGTTCTTGTATTTCTTGCTCCAGTTTCAAACCACCATCCTTATCCAAGATATCATCGTATCTTACGATCTTTTCAAAGTTCAATACATTTGGATATACAAAAGCTTCCATAGGTGAAAGCCATCTTGGTAATTTATTATACACTTTTGACTTTAGTTTTTCCCACACTGACATTAGAGATCTTCTAATAAAATGACTCAGAAAAGACCCATGTGACTTAGCTTTTTCATACTACATATAAGCATGCCAACCCATCTGCAAGTCATGACCTTCAAGATACAAAACTCTTTTATTTCGCAAAGTTATCCATACTCAAGCATACCTTCTTGTATACTTATTGTGGTTTAATACAGGGAGTAAGGAGAAAAGCACCCCATCTTAGTTTTTCAGTCTATTCATGATTATTCCACAGGAATTCCTATATTTATTATTACAGGATATAGTTTTGTTTCCCACCATACCTTATCAAACACTTTTTGCTTTGCAATTTCATCTTGAATAGGTCCAAGAATACAAAGCTTGCTGTGCATCTCCTTCTGCACAAACCTCCATAGTCTCTTTGGTCCCTGCTCCATACTGAAGCCTGGAAAAACACCACTGTATTCCTAATCCTAATCCCAGGGTTGATCCCTGACACTGAAATTAGATGCTAGGCTTGTGCCCTGGTTAACCCTGGCACAAATCAATGCCTCTCTCTCTCCTCCTCCCTCCACCACAGAAACTACAGTGAGGTTTTTCAGGAGTTAAAACACTAGAAAGATACTGCTACTATTTTCTGTACTCCTACCCTGTGTGGAAATATATATAGAATACATAGCTTTATAATTTTAAAATGGGACAACTTTTATGAATCATTTTCTTGTGATCCCACTTGTTCTTACTCCCCTTGCCCCAGGCTTCCATGCCTCTCTGTATGTCTTATTCTCTTCTTGCCTATTAGAACTGTAAATGAGAAGATGTACGTGGCTGAAGTGAAGGAGAAGCACCAGGCCAAGAAGATGTATGATGAAGCCCGCAAGCAGGGAAAGACAGTAGCTCATGTGGCCACCAAGTAAGCACTGCTGGTGAGAGTGTGGCCTGGCCTGCCTGTGCCACCACCATGCCAGAGTTGCCCTTTCTTGCTGCCAGTAGCTAAGCCTTAGGAAAGGCATGTCAACCTTGGAATGAAAGCAGCACATTCACAAGCTGCCAAACTACTAAAAAATGGTGCTTGAGGAAAGGGGTGCAGAGGAAGGGGGCATGGCCACTTGGGAATCCCAAGGGATTGGATCGGGTCCCCAGGTGGGCCTAACTTTTCTGGCTTAGGTTTCTGCCCTGTAATCTTGAATGATTCCTTCTTGGTCTAGAAGCCAGACACTGCAGCAAAAAGCCCACTTATCTGTGGATGCATCTTGGCTAAGACATGACAGAAAATACTGTTGTTGCTGTTGTCATTGTCCTTCCATAAAATGCTTGTCATGCTAATTGAGGGAAGATGCCGTGTGGTTCTGTTTACTACAGTGGCCCTCGGTAGAAGGTTACGATACATCAGTAGGTACTCTAGGCACAAGGACATGTGTTGTTGCAACTTCCCCTGCCCTCCAGATGTTTTGGACTACAGCTCCCATCACACCCCCAGAATGGTCAAGTTGGCTGAGAATGATGGGAGTGATAGTCCAGTATATCCCGAGGGTTCAAGCCTGCAAAGGCAAACTTCATACCTGATATTGAGTGACATTTTTCCAGAGACCGAGAAACTGAGAAATTCAGGGTGTCCACCAGCGTGGAGGCAGGGGGCAAGGTGACCTTTGAGTTGACCTATGAGGAGCTGCTACAGCGACATTTGGGCAAGTATCAGCATGCCATCAACATCCGGCCCCAGCAGGTGGTACAGAAACTGAGTGTGGAGGTGAGCATCTTCGAGCGGACCAGCATCGACTATGTTCATGTACTGCCTCTCCGCACGAGCCGACTGCTGACCAACACCCTTCGAGGTACAGCTTCCTCTTCTTGCTGCATGGAGAGGGATGGATAATAGACCAGGGGAGCTGGGAATCATCACCCCAGGGAGATGTATTTCCTCTTGCTCGTTGGGTGGTCAGCGAGGCTTCAGAGCATCCATTCTGGCCCTGGGCACTCCCTTGGCTCCTCCTGCAGTTCCCTACCCTGGTTTAGGCAGCTGCTGGCACATCTGGCTGCACCCGGAGCTGCAATGAGTGTGGCCACTTGCTCATGGCCAAAAAAGAGGAAAAGATAAAACACTTTTGTGTAACAGTTGCCCATTCTAAGGTATAGGTATAAGCAAAGTGGGGAAAATAATAAATATTAAAATAGAAGCACAAACTAATCTCACCACCGTGGGGAAAGCTGTGATGAGGTAATGTACGTGCCACGTGGAGTCTGCTAATTGTGAATGGGCAGTTTTACAGCCCAGCTCTTCCTTTTAAAGGGTCTGACTTTAAACCAGGTTTGAACTGGGCAGCCCATCTGGGCAGAAGGGAACACCTTCAAATGGACAGTCATACATGAAACAGCCCTGCTGCTCCCTTCATAGTTAGTTACTCCAAGAAGTCAGGTGCAAAGTTGGGCATCAGTTGTGTTGCTTCCACTGTTGCCCCTTGGGAGCTCTAGGATTGCAGTAGACACACAGAATTCGTATGGACTGTTCAGATGGGCCACGATGTAAATGAAAACCTGGGACCATTCTGAAGAACCAAAACCTGAGGATGGTTCATGGTTGCATGCACAATGTTGGATTCCTCTCCATATGATTCATAAACTGCCAGGTGAAATGACCTCAGTGAAGACACGGAGCCTTGGAAGTTGCCTGTCTGTGTTGCTAGCACTGTGAAGGTCATGTTGTATGCATGTTGTTGTCTGTGTAACCAGCCCTTGGCCCTGCTGATCAATTGGCTGTTCCATTACAGGTGAGGCCGATGTGCCATCCTCTACCCGGGTCGAGAAAGGGATGCACTGTGCTTGGATTAACTTCACCCCCACACCCCAAGAACAGGCGGCGTTTTCCAGCTCGGGCATCATGGGCGATTTTGTGGTGCAGTATGACGTGGCCATGCCGGATGTTGCAGGCGACGTGCAGGTTAGGGAAGAGCTGCACAACCGGATCCGACAGTCAAGGAAACATCTGGGGCAACAAAATGGCCCTAGACAAGATAAGGCCACACTCTGTTCAGTGCTAGCTCCAGGCCTTTAAGGGCGCTCAGGCAGGACACACACGATGGGTCCCTCCTGCAGTGACTGACCCTTCTCACTGCCACTGTCTCCAGACACTTCTGGTCCTACTCCTCTTTCCCATCATCACACGCGCGCGCGCGCGCGCGAACCGCAGTTGGAGATTTAAATCCTTTATTCTAAGAAACTTCAAAGCTACGCAGACAAGAAACAACAAAGGAGTTTATAATGACGATGTTAATGGCGAAGTTGTCCCCTCTTTCTGAGGGGGCTCAGATTACGAAACACTCTTGACCCGTGTGGGACGCCCCTCCCTGGGCGGGTCAGACAAGCTTCTCTCCCTCCTCCTTTCTATTTCCCTCCACTCCAATTGCTTTGACTCTCCTCCTATCTCGAGCACTAGTCACACTTTCTGTCGTTTCCATGGAGAGCAGTTTGTTTCCCAGGGTTGTTATCTCTGCCCTGCCCTGTCGTTTCCAAGGTAACCTGCTCACCTCCCTCTGCCCCATCCCACTCTGAGTTCCCGCTCTTGTTCTGTCTGTTCTGTCTGAAAGACTTGAGCGTGGGGCGGGGGTTCTATAATGGGCACCAGGTAGAAATCTTCCTGCTCTGGGGCTTGATCCTCACAGGGAGCCCCCTGCTCTCTCACATGCACCAACTACTCTGAGTCGGCGCACATGACAAGCGGGTACCTGAGGGCTGGAGTGGGAGCACAAGCAAAAGCAGGTGCAAGGTGCAGCAATTCTGGAAATCTTTGTCACCAAGGTAGCTTGGGGAAGGAAGAGCCAGTTTGTATATAGCGCCTCCCCCAGGAGGTGTTCAGGAGGGATCAAGGAATCCCTCGAGGGATCAATAGATCGAGGGAGCAATACTGCAACTACCAGGGCTGCTCTTTTGGTGCTCAGCCAGCAGATGGAGCCCTGCAGCTGTCTCTGATCCTGACACCTGCACTGGCAGGCCAAGCAAGGAGCAAGTGAACAAGCAGGGGCCCCGGTCGGCATGTGATCCCTTGGCAGGTGTCCATTCAGGTCTGCCTTGGCACCAATGCTGCCAGCACGATACAGAAGGGCCTAGGCAGAGATACTCGAGAAAGTAAGAATTGCCTGGGTGGCTCAAACCAAGGAACTGAGCATCCTAATATTAGTCAAATATGCCTGGAAGTTCACAGGTCAGCAGGGCTGTATATTCCCTGCTAAATAAACAAATTATGTTTTCATAAATACAAACATATGCGATCAGTGTATATTATGCTAATATGAACATTTTCTCTCTATCTTTTGCATAATGCATGCTGCAATGTTTACTATTTTACATAATTCATTTCCGGTTTTGCATAGGAATGGAAAAAAGTTATTCACAGTCATTTTATGCAGCTATAAGGGAGAAATGTGCTTGATGATAAACAAGAGTTTATTAGGAAGCTGAATACCACTCCCGTGCACTTTGTGCCCCTGCAGAAGCAAAATACTGTTCTCCAACAGGGTACAAAGAGGGCGACCATTCTGTACTATTTTTACCAGGGACCTGCTAAGGAGGAAGCGTGAAGATGCAAGGAGATAAATCAAATGGAAGCGGCAAAGGCGAAGGGAGTGTATGGGCAGCTACAGTTGATTAGAAAGGCATACCGCATGAAGTATGGTTATCTCAAAGGAAAAGAAAAAAGAAAAGATTGATTGGCTGTAGAGTGGGGTAGTGGTTAAGAGTGCCAGGCCAGAACTCAGGCAATCTGGGTTCTAGTCCCTGCTCAGCCATGGAGCCAACTGGGTGATGTTGGGTCAGTCACAGGCTCTTGGCCCAGCCTACCTCACAGGGTGGTTGCTGTGGGAATAAGAGCAGCAGGAGGAGAATGATGTAAGCCACCTTGAGTTCTTTAAAAGAAAAAACTGGGATATAAATTTAGTAAATAAATAAATAATAAAATATGGCCAGTGGTGGAGTGGTACCAGGGTTCACAGGATTAAAGCTGCAGTTTTTGATTAGCAGAAATCTGCTGTTCCCCACAGTCTTCCTGGTTTCCTCTGAGCTTTGCTGCACAGTATCTGGGGTTGCCTTTTCTCAGCAGCAATGTATCACTGTAAGCTGCTCAGCACACACATGCATTCACGCAGGAGCACAGAGATGCAGACATTTGGCATTTCTGGACTGTTTGGGGTCATGACTGTGAGGATCTTCATGATGAGTTCCTGCAATTTACCATTACATCACTTTATATAAAATGGGTAAGAGGGAAAGCTAAAAGAAAGAGAAGGATCTGAGAGGATCATACTGAGATATGAATGTGATGGAACTTGATGGTTGGTTTAAGTGAACGTGTTAGATAAAGCCACAGTGCTCAGCATTCCCCAATAGCTGAGGAATTATATGATAGTTTACCCCAGAGACAGGGAACACTGGTGGACTGAAATGTTGATGACTGTAACCCAGCAACATCCCGAGGGTCACTCAGCCCCTTCCTCAGTTTCCACTCTTTGCCTAATGAACTGGCCAAGTTCTCATGGCTGAAGCCCCCTCTGCCTCTTTTTCTCCCTGCAGTGATATTGCTGCTCCTCATTGTGGCCATTCTCTACACCTTTTTCTTCTCTCTCAGATCTACAATGGCTATTTTGTCCACTACTTTGCTCCAAGGGGGCTGCCCCCTGTGCAGAAGGATGTGGTGTTTGTTATCGATGTCAGTGGCTCCATGTATGGCACCAAGATGAAACAGGTGAGTGTGAGTGAGCTTGTGGAGATGGGGAAGCTGCAGAGGCTGCAAACGGGGAGAGGAGGAGTCCTGTGCAACCAGAATTGGTGAGTGTACTCTCCAGAATGAGCAGAAAGGAACAGGAGGTGGTTGAGTATGTGTGGAAGAGTCTTTAGCACCACCCTGGGTGACTGAGCACAGTGGAATGGCAAGAACGCTTATAGCAAGGGTCCTCAAACTTTTTGAACAGGGGGCCAGTTGACAGATGCCAGCGGTGGGCACAGACCGCCAAGGCAGTGGTGTGGGCCGGTGTGGGTGCGGGGCGCAAGCACAAGAAAGCGAGCACGAGTAGAGGCAGGGACGGGGGGGGGGGGGCGTGTGGGGCAAGGTGCTGGCTTGCTCGCGAGGAGATGGTTTTCTCTGAGCAAGTCCAAAACGACCTCCTCGCAAGCAAGCTGCGCGCCCACATGCGCCCACACCCAGCGAGTGCAAAACCAGTGGGGCGGGCCGGTTAAAAGGGCATGGTGGGCCAGATCTCGCCCATGGACCTTAGTTTGAAGGCCCATGACTTATAGCTTGGAGCTCTCTGCTTATGTCGGATCGGCCAACTGGGACCCCTCCCAGATGTTCTTGGACTGCATGATCCCTCATTGGTGGCTATGTCAGATGGGCTCAGGGAAGTTTCACCCCAACATCTGGAGGGCCACAGGTTTCCCATCTCTGGCCGACAGCATGTTCTAGATCAGGGGTGTCCAACAGGTCCCATAGGCCGCATGCTATGCCAGAATGGCTATGAATGCTGCACAACACAAAATCATAAACTTACTTAAAACACTGAGATTTTGTTGCAATTTTTTTTTGCAACTCAATTGTGTGGTACTTGAGCATGAACTTTGTAGATGATGATATTGTGACATAACGTCATGTAAAATAAATGTATGCATGCTCTCTTAGGATTATTATGTGAGGACCCTTTTGCTTATCTGTGGTGGTGGGTATCACAAAAATTGTGTGCAGACTTTTTTTTTTTTGCTCATCAGTTTGTTAGTGTTTGTGTATTTAATGTGCGGCTCAAGACAATTCTTCTTCCAATGTGGCCCAGAGAAGCCAAAAGGTTCTAGATGTTAAGAAAGAAGCTACTTGCAAGAGGCAACTGATGGTCTGCAAGGGCAGGGACTTGAGAGGACCAGATTTCTCAGAATAAGGAAACGCTTCCCCAAGGGCTGGCTGTGGGTAAGGGGAGTTGTAGACTAACACATCTGAAGAACACCAAGTTGGGGAAGACCAACCTAAGGCTGCCTCTGGAGTTCCTGATTATGGCAACTTCACTTGCCCTCCCTGGTCTCCTTCTGTTCCGCAGACCAAAAAGGCTATGCATGTCATCCTGAACGATCTCCACCAAGACGACTACTTCAACATTGTGACGTTTTCTGACACGGTGAATGTGTGGAAGCCCAGCCAATCCATCCAAGCCACGGCACAAAATATTCACAGAGCCAAGGACTTCATCAACAAGATGGAAGCTGATGGATGTGAGTGCTGACCAGGAAGATCTCTGGGCAGGGGCAGAGGGACTTTGAGTCATTAACAAGGACAGCCATTAGCTTCTTAGGATGAATGCTCTGGATGAACAGCCTTTAGCCCCCATTTTGCTCAGAGGAGCTGAATCTAGAGTGGAGGGATGCTACCAACACCTCCCTTCCCCAAACTCAAACCTTCCCCTCCCAGATAAGCCCAGGAAGCCTTGCTCATCATCACTTGGGTCAAGCCACATTTTTAAAGTAGGTGGCAACCTGCAGCTCATTGTTTTGGCCTACAATCCCATCGCGCTTCGCTATTAACTATGCTGGCTAGGGGTGATGGGAACTATAGATGAAACATCAGAAGGGCCCACCGCGCCTTTAGGCAGCACACTTCTTCCCAGGCAGCCTGGCTGGTTCCGTGTCCCCTCACTTTCACTGCCCTTTTGCTCCACAGGGACTGACATCAATGCAGCTCTGCTTGCAGCTGCCTCAGTCTTCAACCAGAGTTCTCCAGCAGCAGGAAAAGTCACGAGGGAGCAGAGGATCCCCTTGATCATCTTCCTGACGGATGGGGAACCCACCTCTGGCGTCACAGCGGGCAGCCACATTCTGTCCAGTGCTCAGCAGGCCCTGAAGGGCACCATCTCCCTCTTCGGGCTGGCTTTTGGTGATGATGCAGACTATGGGCTGCTGAGACGCCTCTCGCTAGAGAACCGCGGTATAGCGCGGCGCATCTATGAGGACGCTGACGCCACGTTACAGCTCAAGGGTTTCTATGATGAGATTGCCAGCCCTCTGCTGTACGATGTGGAGCTGGCCTACCTAGATGGAATAGCCCAAGACCTCACTCAGAACCTCTTCCCCAACTATTTTCAGGGCTCTGAGCTTGTTGTGGCTGGGCGGGTGAAGCCAGGGGCGTCAGAGCTGCGTGTGCGCACCAGGGCACATGGGCAGGAGGGGCTCCTGAGCCTGGAAAATGACATCTCCACCAACACCAGTGAAACAGCTCCCTCTGGCTGTCCAGGAGAAGCCAGCAAGATTGGCCATTTTGTACAGAGGCTCTGGGCCTACTTCACCATCCAGGACCTGCTCCAGGCCCGCTTCCGGGCCAATGACACAGCTGCCCGGCGCCTACTGACAGAAAAGGCCACCAACCTGTCCCTCAAGTACAACTTTGTCACCCCAGTCACTTCCCTGATAGTGGTGAGGCCAGAAGAGGACCGGCAGAGGGCTCAGCCTACGAAAGACGCCATCCCTGCTGGAGTGACCAGAGCCCCTCAGGCCACTTCCCAAGGGTCTGCTTTGCCGGCACCCCCTAAAATGGCTGAACCCATTCCTGTACTTGGAGCGACCAATGCTCCGGCGATCACAGAAGCGCTCAAGGGAATGGCGGGGGCAGGAGTCACTGCCCCTTCCCTGGCTCCTGGGGCAGCCTCAAGAGCCACAAAGGCACCCAGAGCTGTGTCTCCTCCAGTGGTGGTCACAACCACCATGCTAGCAATGACACCTTCTGACATTTCCCTGGCACCTGCTACCACTAGCCACACAAAAGCAGCCAAAACTGCACCAGTGCCAGGAGCGGCAGCCCCGTCTGTGACTCCTGCCGTGAGCCTCGGGTACACAAAGCTGGCCAGAGCCACAGCCTCTCCTCGGGCTACCAGGCCCCCCACCAGCCTTCCTAAGATGGCCCCGACCAGAGCTGCAAGGCTCAAGGCAACAGGCCGCCCCCACTCCAGCTTGGAGTCCAGAGGGACAGCAGTTACCAAGCTCCTGGCAGGCATCCCCAGCATGATGCTCCCCGTGACCACATTGCCCCCGTTTGCCAGCACCAAGGTGCTGTGGAGGGGGGGCAGCACCCGGGGACTCCCTGCGACAACACGCCCAGGAGCCACTGAGTCCCAGCCACGCCCAAGCGGGCATGTGGGAACAGCCAGGACGGGAGCTAGGAGCATCCCCTGGGGCAAGGCAGTCCCTAAGGGGGAGACAGCCACACAGGGGCACACCGAGAAGCCCCTGCAGAGCAGCGCTACCCCTTGGAGCACGGCGCCCGGAGCCGCCTCCCTGGGGACTGGAGGAGCCCTCTCCAAAGGCAGTGGCGGCAGCACCAGCAGCACCACACCTGCCTCTGGGATCAGTCTCTTTCTCCTGCCGAGTGAGTCGGAGTTGCGCTCAGCCACCGACCAGGACACAGAGTACGTGGAGTCCTTGAACCCACCGGCTGTGTACAGCTTTGTGACCAGCAGAGGACAGGCAGGTAGGTGCAAGGACCCTGCGCTGTGCTTTCGGAGGCAAGGGAGTGGAGTGCCTTGCCCTGAAAAGCAAAAGCCGCAGCTGCTTCTAGGTCCCAAAGCTGCCCTCTGCTGCTGGCCGCTCCAGCTTGAGGAAACAGCACCAGGGAGCCCAGGGAGCCTGCCAGCCCAGCAGAACAGCTTGGCCATTAACCCTGGGCTCCTGGCAGTGCCCCAGCCATGCAGGGAACCCATTCTCTGGAGAGACCTGCTCCCTGCTGCTGGTCCCCACCCTGGACCCTTTCTGATCTGCGCTCCAACCCCACCCCCTTCCTCCTGGGATCTGTTGCTCCCCCCATTCCTTCCCACTAGCTCATACACCCTGCACAGCCAGCAGTGTCCCATCTCCTGGATTTCCCTCAGAGCCCTCCTGCTGCTCTCCATTCTCTGGTCTAGGCATGGGTGGAAGTTAGACTGGGATCTACTGGTACATCTCCCAGTGATTTCTCACGTTTGTTCAGTGATAGCCACAACAAAATTACTCACCATCACTCCAGTTCTATTGCTGAAGTTAAGGAAGCTAGGGTGGGGGGAGGGAGGTTAACGTGCGAGAACCAGAAGGGGATTTTTGTGTGACAGGAATGACAGCCCTGCTCAGCTCTGGCACTGACAACAAATCTCCGGACTCAGGATCCTTTAATTCTAGGAGCATGATGGTTCCAGCAAGCTGCAGTTGATGCATTTCATAATAAAAGATTGAGTCAGTCCTGCAAGGCCGAAGTCTTGCATCACTTAGGCTCCCTAACTCATCTTTGTCTCCTCCTCAGGAAGCCTGGATTATGACGACTATCCAGGTAATTCTGCTCAGGCTGGGAGGTCAAGCTTTTTCTGTTTGAAAGGCTTTCCCAAATTTCCAATGGGCTACATGAGGGGCACTGCTTGGCTCTGTGTCCATTGCTGGCAATACTGTTTTTCTCTCCTCTACTTAATTGTTCCACACAGGGCAAATTTCAGGCTCTGCAGCAACCTGTCCCTCTATACAAATCATTCCCAGTATGACAATTGATTCTGGAAAATGATTTTCCATTGGTTTTGGATGATCTGGGACAAATTAATTGAAGCATTTATTTTTGACATGATTTCGATGAGACATTAATATGAGGCTTTGACTCATATTTTAATTTAAATGAACTCTAATAATGTGTTTCTAAACTGACATATAAATCAGCCTATGCAGATTTTATAGATGTGAGTTTCTTGGGCCTGGGATCTTTTACGTGCTTAGCAATGCCCCTGGGTGGTGTCTTCAGAGGACTGTGTGCAGTAAAGTAGGACACATGACCACCCTACTTAAGATGTTTGGTGTGCGGCAACTGCTTGGACTTGGATTTCAGGGAGGGGCTCTCCAGTAACAGCTAGAAAGCATTGGCCTGTGCTGCTGGAGCATGCAACACGTTGGCCTTCCTGCTGCCCACACTTGTTGTGGGCCAGCCCTGGTTGCTGCAAGGCGAAGGAAGCAGGCCAAGTACTGTCCCCAGGTGAGTCCCCCCACTAGGTTGCTGATGACTCCTTTGGGCATTGAAGGGACAGGTGACTCAGGAATGAAAACGGCCCATTGCAGGGTGCAGAAGCTCTTCCAGCTCTTGGGAGGAGCACATGCTGGTGGTGGGTGGCATTTTAGAACTGCAAGGAAGCCAGGAGAGGCAAAAGTCAGGAAGCCACCAGATGGTCAGCAGTCGGGGCCAACTGGCTCTGTCTCCCCAGCATCAAGGGACTCACTGAGGATTTGTGCCCCTGCAAAAGCCACTTCATGGGATGCCTTGGCTGCCCTAGGGCTCTTCTGAAAAATGCTCTTCCTTTGCAGACTTCTTAGAACTGGACAGTGACTCAGGTAAGTGACTGAATGCTGAGGACGTATGGAGAGCCGCAAGAGGTCCAGACAGAGAGCAGAAACGGTCTGAAAGGCTCAGCCAAACTTTGCCCATAACCTTTTATTTCTCTTTTAACATCACAAGTTCCACCTTCTACCTGCAAGCTGCCAAAGCTCCATTCTGACTCCATCTCTCCCCTACCCAACCCAGTCGGTGGGGTTGCGAAGGCTAACATTTTCCCCATCAGAACTTAGTGACACTAATTAGAAAACAAAAAACAAGACGTGTGCACCCATCCCAGCCCCATTTGTTAGGACTGGAGGGCCCTCCAGATGGCCTTCCAAGGTCTGTGGCGGCCTGCCCGTGCACGAAGAGAGCTGATTTCAGGGGTTCCCAAGGTCACCAAGTGGGAGATGTTATGCAGTTCTTCCGTCTTTAGTGGATTTTTTGTTAAAGGAAAAAAGACCCAAGATGCAGGAATAGAAGGGTCAAAAGTGGAAGACAACCATGACTTCTGCATGAATGGGGCAAGGGGATGGCTTCACCTGCAAGCACCCCAAGTCTCCTTTAGCAAGTGGCTTGGGCAAAGGGTCAGGGTCTACTGTGGTGCCCATAACAGGTGCACTTGGTAGGTGCGTGCATGGGTTGGAGCCCAAGAGTGATATTTGGCAGCCAAATAAAGGAAGAGCTGCTTACGAGGCAGTGGACTGAATGCTGTTTATTCTGTATCTCCTTCCAGGCTCTTTCAGAGATTTCTCCGACACTAGTTTCTTCACCTTCTCCTCTTGGGGTAAGAAGATCCCCTTTAACAGCTACAGACTTCCTAGAAGACTCCATTTCTAACCTATCTCTTCCCTTGCAGTGGATGGAGACCCTCATTTTGTAGTAAGGCTGCCACAGTCACTGGGGAACTTGTGCTTCACTTTGGATGGATGCTCAGGAGATATCCTGAGATTGGTGAATGATCCTGACACAGGTAAAGGCTGTAGTGTTCTTCTGCCAAAAATACCAGACCTATTCTGTGCCATCCTGTAGGGCTAAATATCAGAACAATGGATAGGATCATCAACTTTCTTTTCAAGAATTTGGCATCTCAGACTAGGTACCTCTGAGTCTATGTAGAGTGCCTCCTTGCTCAACAAATAGGACAAAAAAATTTTTGGTATCTTGCCTCTGGGCTTTCTGCTACTTTTCCCAGCAGAATGGAAACAACTTCTGTTTTTAAAAAATGGAATTAAGGTCATAGTGTCTCTGAGCACTACAAGGTGAATTTCCTCTGATGAGAATCAATTTTAAATGTAAAAAATAATAAGGTCCAAGTGCCCTTATGCATGGGCAGAGTTCCTTCCCTATGTGGTGCATGTCTTGTTTTTTTAAAAAATCTACATCCTAAAAAGTAGAGAAAACTCATCTCAATACCAAACACACGTTTTCTGCTGCCTATATTTTCTAGCACTTGGACAAGAGGAGAAAATTCTTTGTCAACTGGGAAATTTGAGTGTAAGGGCAGATACTCCTTGAGACGAGTGGGAGAAAGAAAGATGCAATTTGGACTGATGGGTTATGGTAGAGCAACTGTGAACCAGGACACCTTGATTCTGCCCCCTCTCTTTAAGTTAGGGCTGGGCCACTTATGGCCTTCTGGATGTTCTTGGGGTGCAGTTCCCATCAGCTCTAGTCAGCATAGCCAATGGAGTTTCAGCAAAAAGTGAAACTAGGCAAAAAGCCCGGAAGGGGAAATAGCACTTTTCATTACAGAATGCTGCCTTCCTTCAACCCCAGGCTTGTCAGTCAAAGGGCATCTAATGGGGGCCCCTTTAAGGCCAGGCCATGAAGAGCATCCCCGCACCTACCTCGACGCCATCACCATCTTAGTAGAACAACCACGTGTTAGCTACATGGTCAACATAACACGGGACGGGGTGACGCTCCATGGAAAAGAGCTGCTGGTGCTGCCCTTCACCCAGCGGGCCACAATCTGCAAACCCAAGCTGGTGATTTCCATATGGCCTGAGGCCAATGTTACGGTGCGCATTGGGCCTGAGGTGGAGTTCCTGGTTCTGTTGCATCGTTACAGTCACCCCACAGCCCTGCAGCTGGACCACCTTGGCTTCTACATGATGAATGGCAAGGGGCTGTCCGCCTCAGCACGTGGCTTGTTAGGTGAGCAACTTCTCTTCCAGGTCTGGCTGTGCCCCAAGGCAGGCACTGCAAATGCGGGGGCACCCCTGCTGAATTCTAAATGACATACCTCCATTCGTAAGGAGCCTACTGATGCTGCATGATTCTTAAGGGAGAAAAAATGAACCGGGGAGACAGAATTGTTGTTTTGGACCTCATGTAGGCCTGTCACACCGAAGTCCCTGAAGGACGTTTCTTACTGTGGAATGCAACAGCTGTTCGGCTTTTTGCTCTTTGGCTTTCTTTGTGGGGTTTCCCATTTCTTTGGATTCTTTTCCTACCTGCTATAGGATGAAATCAGCACCAAGCAAAGCTGCCTGACACAGTCATGCAACCTTGCCCAAACTGGTGCCTTCCAGAAAATTTGGAGTACTAACTGAACACAACTGGAAGGCACCAGGTTCATGAGGTTTAGAGGTGGGTTGCATGGGTTCATCTGTCTAATTCTCCACCTGCCCCTTTCCTGTTTGGACACGTGGCAGCATGTGCTTGAATGACCGGGCACCCATATGCTCTTTTACAGGCCAGTTCCAGGATGGTGATATCAGGCTTTTGCTGGATCCAGCAGAGGGAGAGCGAACAGCTTGGATATGGAAGGGTGCTAACAAAGTGCTAGTCACTGAAGTCACCAAAGTACTAAAGGATTCAACCCGGAGGGCGCATGAGGCCCCATGCTGGCTGGTGAAGCGCAAGAAGGTGGAGGAGTTCTTGGGGGCCCCATATAGTTCCTATCTTGCCTCCAACCTGCTGGAAATGTGAGCTGGCCACCTCTCACTCAGCTAGAAACAGCAGGACTAGCAAATGGAAAAAATGCTAGCACTGTCCCATTGCCTCATCCCTCTGCCTCAGCCTTTCACTCTGGGGATAAGGATGAGGAGGGGAGTCCGTCATCTCCCTTCCAGGACTTTTGAAGTAGAGGCTGTTGCGAAAGGTAGTAGAAATGGAGCTGCAGTGAAAAGTAAGATTGTTAACTGTTTCCCCCATCAGAGACACATTTAAAAGGAAGTATGTCCACATTCTGGGTTTTGAAAGAGAGACTGGACTTACTTGCAAGGGAGTCTTCTCAATGGGCAGAAGATCCAAAATGTATCATTCTTCTCACTCGCTCCACAGGTCCAAGCACCCAAGTTCCTAACACCTGATGGAACCCTTTTCCCATCTTGGAACATGTCAGAGCAGCTTCCCCAAAAGTCCACAACACTAATATCAACTGTTAAACAATACAGAAGAAGAAGGGAGAGAATGCTCTCTGTGGGATTCAGGACACGCCGGACTGATGGCCACTGAATTTCAAGTCAACCGTCCCCCCCGCCCCCCAAGTTATTGCTCTGAAGCAATGAGGCAACCAAGAGGGGTGAGCCCCACAGGGACAGGATAGCCTCTGCTCGCTGATAAAAAGAAACCTTTGAGTTAAGTCCAGTGTTCTTTTTTCCTTCAGTGGAGCAGGAGTACCCTGGAACATAAAACTGCAGATCAGCTTACAGTGGAGGGATGGACCCTACTCTCTGCCTGGAATGTAATAGAACACATTAGAAAACTTGCCTGCCAAAGGCACCACCCAAGGTAATCTCAAAATCCAACTTGCTGTACCTTGTGGTATAGACCAAGAGGCTGCTCTACAAAAGATCTTTTAGAGCCAAAAGCTGCTGGAATGGGCAGTTACTCCAGAAATGACAAGCAGCCATTGTGCTTAGGTGTTCAGTGGAAGAGGGAACTGAACAGGGTTGGTGGACTTGCAATAAGTTCCTTCAAGACCCATACTTATGATACTCCATTTCTTTTGGAGTGTTTTGGCTTTGGGCAGAAGGATGGCAATTTTACATTTTGGGATCTGATTTGTGAATGGGAGCTTTCACAATGTAGGAGTCTTCATGCAAGTAGTCTTTCTCCAGTGACCTGCATTGGAGAGCCAGCTTGTAGAACAAATGAGAGTAAGAACCTGTTAGAAGAGCCTCCATCCACTCGATGGATGGGGCATCAAGCTGTTCCACTAACAGGGAAAGAAGAAGGGCAGCTCAGCGTACCTTGTTATGTGCAGTTTTCGGACTTGGAGGTTAGTCAAAAGAATCTCTTGCCTCGGAGGCTAAAAGCACAGCAAGAGGGGGTGGGGGACCTTTGGACAAGTTGCTTCCTCAAGCATCCTGCTCCCTCGAGTGACATGGCAGCCCTTCAAAACTATACCGACATGCCCTCCCCTGCTTCAGTAGTCTAGAGAGCAGGCAAATCAGAGGTCACCCCTGGATACCCTATGCAGGAAGTGCAACAGGAATTGGTCTTACCTCTTCTTTTTAAAAAGTTCATGCATTTGCACTTTTGCATTAAAGGACCAAACTAAAAATAAAGACAGCTCCAGTGTGACCAGTCTTGTACAGTAGCAGAACCAAGAAAGTGATTTCAGTGGGACATACCTGTCCCCTGCAGAGGAATGGCCAGAAAGCCTCTTCCCCAAATCACAAGGCCCTCCTTTTGAGTGCACTCCCAGAAATGTCATCAGCATAGGCTGCAACATTGATTTAACAGTATAGGTGAGAGTGGACAGGTGGAAGTGGTTCTTCTCTCATCACTCTAGCAGCTTGGAAGCCTCTTATCCACAGCCCAAAGCTGGAGGTCTCCAAGTGGTACCATTACATTATGTGCATTTTTTAATTTATTGTGTTTATCTGCGCTAAGGGTGCCACTCAGCACCGCTGCTGAGAGCATCCTCACCTTCTGCAGACATTTGAAGCCCAGTGGTGCCCAAGATCCATTGCACTTGAGCTTTGGCAGAACATGGTTCTTTCCATGGGTTAAAAGTGTATTTTACAATGACTATAGTAACATTTTAAACTGCTGTTGAGGTGCACCTTAAGCAAATAAAAGCCATTGTTTTAAGGCAGCACAGGAAAAGGAAGACTTTACCAGTGACAGGGCTGGGTTTTGGGGGACCTTTGAACAAAATCCTCTCAATGGGCCCCTTCCTTCCGGAAGTCCACCTTCTCAGCACCGTTGTCACCAACTGCTCTCCTCCTCATTCCTGCTACCAGCTGCTTGCTTGACAAGTATAGAACCAGTGGCATCCTAAGATGATTGGGGGGCGGGTTGTATTTTTTTAAAGCCAGGAAGTAAGCACTGCTGTTTATTTGCATTGAAAAACACAGTTTGACTTCAAAGAGTGACTTTCTATTTTGCTGCTCAGTCCTCCACTTCTGCCTTGCACTTAGGTCACTGGATTAGTT